CCCAGAGGTTGTTTCAGGGTTCAATCTGTGAGTTAGCCTTGCCCTGACTTAGATCAGCCCAGAGGTTGTTTCAGGGTTCAATCTGTGAGCTAGCCGTGCCCTGACTTAGATCAGCCCAGAGGTTAGTTCATGATTCTATCTGTGAGTTAGCCTTGCCCTGACATTCCAGAATTTGTTCCATAGTTAAAGATTAGATTTCAAAATTTCAAGGTGTAATGTTTCACTGGGAAATTTTTCAAACGAACATGACTAGTTAACTCACCAGACTTTTCTTTGCTCCTGCTGCGTCAGACGGCCCGTCTCCGGGCTACCATCAGCGTTGATCATTCGATACTTGACGTATCTTGGTGTTCCATCCTTTGCTTTAAAGTAGGACGGCATTTGTGGATAGTAGACCTGATCTGTGCACGAGTCGGGGGGTCGTCGAATTCCATCGATATTGGTAAACAAACTAGGAAAAAATATTAAGCTAAGTGGGGTTCATTAATTAGCACAGTATTTTTCTATCGTGGTGAGCTAGTGATAAGATTCATTCAGCTGATCGATTGATACCAAGCAATAGAATACTCTCTGGTTGATAGCACATGACGGGCAGTGTTTGCTTGTCATTTTAGGCTGGTAATGAAATTCATGAGATTCATTCAGCTGATTGATACCAAGCAATAGAATACTCTCTGGTTGATAGCACATGACGGGCAGTGTTTGCCTGTCATCGTAGGCTGGTAGCGAGATTCATTTAGGTGATTGATACCAAGCAATAGAATACTCTCTGGTTGATAGCACATGACGGGCAGTGTTTGCCTGTCATTGTAGGCTGGTAACGAGATTCATGAGATTCATTCTGCTGATTGATACTAACTTATCCATTACTTACTGTTGAGGTGATGTAAGCAGATATCCTTTGAAGTCTCCACTGATTTTGGAATTAAGTGCATCGTAAATTGCATTCACATCCCAAAGCACTGCCGAGCGACCGGTTGACATGATGATGTCGAGAGGAGACTGGTCGTCACTGTCAGCCAATTTCAAGGCGGCTCCTCTGAAGTCGCACTTCGCATCGTCATCAAAAGATAAATTAGAATGACGAAGACGAACCGGAAATGTCTTACCAGAAGTAAAGAACTCGTGCTCTGGAAACTGAGGGCTGTTGACGATTTGTATTTTTCCAAACGCCCCAAAGCCATTGGCATGTGTGCCGCGCTTTTGCGTTTTCAATGCTGCCAAACCGAAAAGGGTCTTAATCTTAGTCACGTGAAACTGTAGTTGTGCTTGACTGAAGATTCCTGGGGCAGGTGGATCCTATGAAAAGGAATTTCAATTCACAATCTGATTGACTCCCTCTGTCCGTCTGTCCGTCTGTCCGTCTGTCCGTCTGTCCGTCTGTCCGTCTGTCCGTCTGTCCGTCTGTCCGTCTCTCCGTCAGTCCGTCAGTCCGTCAGTCCGTCAGTCCGTCAGTCC